AATCGTTTGACTTAGTTCAATGGTGGAGGGCACGGGCATTAATTTGGCCAATCCTAACTCGATTGGCAATGGATATATTTTCGATCCCAGTCTCCACTATTTCATCCGAACAAGCTTTCAGTACGACAGGAAGAATACTTGAGGAACGCCGGAATGCATTGCAAAGGGATATTGTTGAAGCCTTGGTTTGCATTAAGGATTGGGATCGGGCCGATCAACGTCTACAAGATACAATTTCACCGGCAAGCCAAGAATGGATCGATGAATTTAATCGATTAACATTTAATTTTGAAGACGATCCCTCAGCTTCAAATTAAATTGTAAATTTGTAATTTGTAAATATGTATTTACTTTTTACATTGTATTTGTAATTTAATAAACAATGTAAGTTTGTACAATTTGTAATTTGTCACAAAATGATTGCACTCTTTTTTCCTTGCGAAGTTTTTATCTCAATTGGGTTTTTCTTGGTAAGATTTTTAACGAGGCAATCATGAATTACAAATTTAAAAATTAATAAAGAAATAATTTTTTTATATAGTTCGTGTGTTCATTTCAAATTGTAATATATATATATATAATATATATATAAATTGTAATATATATATAAATAACTTAATATTAAAAAAAATTTAAAAAATTCGGGCAATTCGGGTGGGCTCGGGCCGCCGAATACAAGCCCGTGGCCCGTTTAAAGTGAAATTCGGGCTCGGGCGGGGGGCCCGGAAATCTCGGGCGGGTCGGGTTTGGGTTCGGGCAAATCCTCAGACTTTTCAGACAGTCGCGGGCGGCCCGTCTAAAATTTCAGTACTAGTCAACACTACGTAAGAAGGTTCGGTTTTCACATTGCGAGACTTCTATTTTGTGGGTAGTTTTGTAAACACTTTGTACTTTTTTTAAATAAAAAAAAAAAACAAAGAAAAGAAAAACTTTACAGATTGTACGGTTTGATTTTCATTGCCGTAAATTATTTAATAAGTTTTGTTCTCTTTTCTTCTACTCCACTACTCTTTTTCTCAATCTCAAACTTCAATAATTTGTTCCACTGAAAATAATTTCATTTTCATCTATTTTAAGTTTGATTTACATATATCCAATATTTAGACAAACTCCAAGTCTCCCAAGGAGTGAGGAATGTTCCCAGACAAATTGTTATTACTGAGGTCTAATGCTT